GCTTGCGTGTTTCTGTGTACAGAGCAGATACGGTCCCTCTGGCTTTAAACGCAGCGTGCCGTCCGCTCCATCTGCTGAAAAGGTCAGCTCTTCAGGAAGACTGAGACGAGCCGTGCCCAGAGGAGGACGGCGAGAACGTAAGGGAGACAAATGTATGGACGCGCTCCATTTCACTCAGCTCTACAACTCGGACATAAATACAGAGAGTTGCAACGGCGTGCAACGTTAAGTTGCCTCCAAAAAGGCTGCAGCCTAATACTCTGGACCACCTCGGTGTGCATGTGTGTGCTCGTGGTTTTGCATTCTCAAGGGAATTACAAGGAGATGACCTGCTGTGGGGTTGAGATGTATGTTTGGAAATGCAGGCAAACAAAACACGTGCCAGATGAGCTGACATTTCTGCTCTCGAAACACCAATTTAGGCTGGCAGTATGAAACGAACCCAGACACGCGCCCTCCCTCCCTTCACCAGAGCGGCCCGTAGACAGGCGGCACCACCTGGCTGACTGCTCTCTCTCCCTTTGCCGCTTCCTCCCTCTGACATCCTGACAGCCGGCACTGGCTACCAGCGCCAGGACACTGCCATTCCGAGCCCCCTGTCTGCACTGACATCCTACAGCAGCAGCAGATGACCAGATGGGATTCTGGGAAAATATACAGCAGCTTTTTCTGCATGGAACATTGTCAAGAAAGAGCTAAACTTAAAAGGAAAAAGTTCCCATTCATTCAGTCCTTTTTGTTATCCTTCGCTTATTATTATTTGCAGTATTTTCCCGAGAGACTTGGGGAAAAAATAAATGAACATTTGTGGTTATTGTAGCACGAGTTTGTCTTTATATTACATTATGATCTACATCTCCTCAAAATTACCACCATGCTACCATAATATAAAACATCATTGTGTGTCAGCGGCTTGATTGCATTCATGAATATAAAATTCTGACTTTCAGTTCTGTGCCGCTAAGATCTTATTCTGGCCGCCTGAAACACAGTGTCATTTTAAATTGTAATTATTTTGGAAAACAAAGCCATAATACATTTTTCATGAAGCCTCAGTGGAGTTTAAGAAGTTCAGTACATTCGTTTGGCCAACTAACATCAGAATTATGTGGAATATACTGTGGGGGTCTCCCACAAGCAATGAAAACTATTTTTTTAAATGTTCTCACTAATAGTTTCCACTGTCCTCATTAGATCACACTCTGCTGCAGACCTCAATTTCTACCCTGATCTAGATGCTGTTTATACTATTCTTACCCATCTCTTCTTCCATAGTCGATATCTAGCCTTTTTTTTTGTCATGAATCCCAGAAAGTGCCAAACACGTCTTCTTGTTTCAGTCTGTCGCAGTGTTCAGAGATGTCTAAGCTCCCTAAGGAGAAAGCCACATCTTCTCCGATATCATCTGCCTTTGTGTACAACTGTTTCCAGCTCTTTAATAATCTGAGTTATTTGGTCTGAACAAGGTCAAATCTGTAGGACAAAATATAAAAAAATAAATCTAAAAAGTAACATTTTCTTGACATCCAGGACATCTTGCTTTGAGAATTACTTACTACTAATCCTCGGGATGCCGCATCACTAAAAATGCAAATGTTAAACATACAGACTTACAGAAGGGGAGGGGGTCCTTTGCATGTTCACTTTGGGCCAGCAGAAACACCAATATGACTGCGATCTGCTACGCAAGTTGGCTAATTACCCTGCTAGCTATCATTCAAGCACGGAGAAACACATGCCACTCATCTGTCCATGTGACACTAAATCCAAACCAGTTAAATCTATGTTAAGGTTACGAGTGGGTTCTTGGAAAATCTTCAGGAGGGTTCTCTGGTCCCCAAGAAGCTCGATTGCTCCTGTCCTTAAACCTACTTTCTGATTAGCCCGAGTTTGTTTTATTTTGACCCTTTTCAGTGCACGAGTCTTTGGGTGGTGCATGGCTTTAAATGATTACATCCACAAAGGATAAGGTTTAGGTAAAGGCCGGGCACTCCAATGTTTATTAGACCTTGTACTGCTCTCCAAGCTGCAGTTATTGCATGCTGCCCAGAATTTCTTGGCATTGTCCATCTAATTTATATAATAATTTTGAGTGTTTGTGGGTTTCAAACAATAAAAGAAAACATTTATTACCATTGTCAATACATTTCTATATTTGAGAAGCTGAAAATGGCAATTTGTGTACGGCATTTGTGTACCTAATGCATCATTTAAAGTAGAAATGAAATGTTATGATTCAACAAAATCTCTTTCACCTTTAAGTGAACGGCTCAAGGCAGTCTGCAGTACTGGATAAGGACTATTTTTGTATTTTTATGGCACTAAATGCACATTATAAAGGCTACACCAGTGTGTGTTGTGTCTCTGACCTCGAGTAGCTGGGTCTTGTCGTACTCTCTACGATGCTTGTAGATGCACTGGCTGAGTAGGGAGTACAATCGCTCCAGCTGCTCCACGCTGTAGCCCTCACTCTTCTTCACCACCACATCCAGTAGAATCTGCAGCAAACAATAGAAATCATTCGTTTTAGAAAATAAATACATCTTACAGATATATACCACAGAAACAACAACAGCACAGGCGCAATCGGACAGTCGTACAGTGATGGAACAACGGGTCGCACAAGCAGCTCGCTGATGCTGGTGCGTGGAGATGCATCATGTGGAGGTCAGCTGCATTCAAAAGCAATTAAGATCAGAATGACAGCTAATTAAGGCTAATCATAATTAGAACCAAGTTTACATTTCACTGCTACTTTAATTAAAACATTCTGGACAGTCAAAGGCCCTTTTAATTGACCCGTTCTTCACATTTTACCCAAACCAAAGTCTGTGTGTATATGCGCTTCTATTTAAACACGCAGCTCATCAGAATGCACGGACTGAGACAGCAAAGGCACAATAATTAAAGTTATCATCACTGACACAAGGCAAACAGAGAAACCTCAACTGAAATTAAATGGTGTGGGTGTGGGAGAGACAGAGAGACAGAGAGAGAAAACTTGCTTGAAAAACATAAAATCAAGGCAATATGATGATTAATAAGACATAGATGTTTGTCAGAGCCTCATCAGTGAACGTCTGAGAGATAATTACAGTGAGCAAAAGAACGAAAATTGCAAAGGTAAAAAGGTTAGCATTGTATTAATCACTGTACTCCATCTGACAATGGGTTCTGTTTAAATGACAGTTGGCCTGATTAAAGTTAAACTGAGGCTTCACATCAAGAGAAACTTGAGGAGAAACTTAATCCCAAGACAAAGTCTGCTCATAACCGGAAATCTGGCCTGAAGAAAAATACTTTTTAGCTTCTATTAAGATGCACCACAGCTTGGAGCCACGTACCTGCCACCAATATTATTATTGTTATTATTCTTTATAACTGAAAGAATGAAAAACGTCATGCATGATGCATTAGTCCTAATGGTTCGTATCGAATCATCGTGGCAAACATTTGCTACTGCTCCTCATCTCAGTGCTGACTAACGTAATCAGTGACCTCCTAAAAGCCTTTCTTAGGTTTTTTAGATTGTTTGTTTTGCTACAAACATCACATGGAGAGAGAAATTACACCTGAACAACATTATCTGCATCAATGTTTTCACATTTTGTATTTAGAAGATTGGATAAACTCCAGCTCAAAGTGGACTTAATATGTCCGTTTCCAGCTCCATATTTATTATCCTTGGAGTCTATTAGAGTACCTCTGCATAATTCACAATTCAAAATAAACATTATTCATCTCATATTAGGCCTCGGTGCAGCCCCTCAGCTCCTCTTACAAACATAAGGTTTGAACAGCAGGTTGGCAAGTCCACTGTGTAATGTGCCTGAGATGACTATATTAAGGATATGTAATCTCTTTGACGTCATAAAGCACCACAAATGGAAAAGTTGTGTTAGAGCAATGATTACTATGAAAAACCACAGTGTGACAGAACACCAGAAAAAGCTTTTA